GAAAAAAATCCTCCAAAGTACCAAATGCACGGCAAGAAAATACAGATAAATTAGAGTTAGGTAGATTATTCATTCTTCTGTTGTTGGACACCTTGGTTGGTTCTATGATGTAGTTGTTGTAAAGAGTCCTGCAATATACATGGAAGTATCTCTGTGGTAGGATATAAAGTCCTTTGGGTACATATTCAGGATTGTTATAGCTGAACCATGTGTCCATGCTATTTTTATTTTTTCCCTTTTTTACTGAATTTTTGCAAATTTCATACAGTATATTTTGATCATATTTAGATCTTCTCCCATATCTGCACCACCCTTACTAAGTCCCATTAAGTTTTTTGCATATATATGCATGCTTATAGAGTCAGGGTTTGTCCCTAAATGCCTTTTGATATAGGTTCATTCACTGAAGCCTAGTGAACCTACCAAGACTCTCACCCTTAAAAGAGACTCTCCCCCTCCCAGAAGCCATCAATTGCTAGTACTTCCTCAGGTCAGGTTGGGGTTTAATTACCCACTTCCCCACATCTGTGCTGGGACTTTGTCCGGCTTGAGTGTTGTGGGACTTGTGCATGCTGTCACAATTGCTCTGAGTTCCCATGAACAACTGCCAAGCTGACTGGAAAACCCTGTTTCCTCTGTTACCATCGCTGCTTCTGGCCCTTATAATCCACCCCTTCTTTAGAAATGAGCCCTGAGCTTTGAGAGGTTGAAGTTTGGTGTAGGTGTCCTGTTCAAGGAAAAGCACTCTGCAGCCTCTTGTTCTCTGTATGTTGGCCAGTGGTGGTTCTCTGTGTCAATCACCGTCTGCAGCATGTGGTTTTATGTGATGACAAAGAACATGGAAGATACAGGTTTGATGCTTTCTCTAACTTTTGACTTAGGCAGCAGTAACATACACAAAGGCACCCCACAGCTACAGCCCTTTCCCCACAACCTCATTTCCTTCAGCTTTCCAGTTTCAAAGGCTGTGCACTCTGGTTCCTATGCATGTGATTTATCATTCAGGTCTATCTGCCCTCAGTGGGCCTCCTCCTCATATTTCATGCACTAAACTAAGCTAAAATGCACATCAGTCTCTTGATGGGGCTGGGGTGAGAGAAAGGAGAGGGATTCGTTCTGTGGCTCGGGTGTCTTTAAAAGTTAAAGGTGAGGTTGGGACTGGAGAAATGGCTCAGTAGTTAAAAGCACTGGCTGCTCTTGCAGAGGACCCAGGATCAGAACCCACATGGCAGCTCACAACCATCCATCTTCTGCCACCCAGACACATTAGGAGAGGGTGTAGCCAAATGCTGGCTGGAGCCCTAAATCCATATAAGAGAGAGGCCGACCACTGACAAGACACATATGGATTATATGGTGCACTTAGTGAGTAGGAAGTCAGATTTTATTATATTTTATTATATTTGAGTCAGAGTATAATTTGGGGTAGAGTTATTTTCACAGCCACCATGTGATGCTGTGAACCGAACCTGGGTCCTCTGCAAGAGCAGCCAGTACTCTTGAACTGCTGAGCCATCTCTCCAGTCCCCATCTATCTGATGAATTCTTAGTCACCTGGTTGTTGTATAGAAATGTGATTCCACTTTTAACCTGAAGCCTGAACGAAGTAAAATTATGCGTGCAGGTTCATTAGATATGCCAGTGAGTAATGTGATTTCTGTGGGAATGTCTCAAATCTGAGCAACAGAGGTAAAAATTCTAGCTTCATTTGGATTAGGAAGCTACAACCCATTGTGTCCTGTGTGTGTGATGGCACACTGTGAAAACAGTCTATGGATTTTCCTAGAATTGCAGTATTATGCTTCTGTGGATGCTGTGTTAGCTATCAGTAAGCAAAATAGCGGTAGACCAGCCTTTCGCACAATAGAAGCAGCAAATCACAGCTGCAGCATATTCAACTGTCTACTGAGTAAAAACCATGCTATGAGTGAGTGCCTGTGTGTATGTACATTTGTGTACATGTGTGTAAGTATCAGTGGATAATTTAGCAGGGGAAATCATATATATATTTAATTAAATAAGACTTCAAAATGACTTGTGGAAGATGCCTCCATGCATAGAATCAATACCTCCCTCTGAAGCCCCCAACAACCATTATTATACAAATATATGTTTTGCTGAGCATCTCCTGAAACCTATGGGATGTAAGGGTTCTCAACAGGATATCTAGGCTGAATTAGGGAAAGGAAGATCCTGGAAGGCTCATCAGTTTTCTGGGAAGTATGCCAAGGCTGTGACTTGGAGAACAGATCAGGACTTTTGACCACAAAGCCAGTGGCTCCATCAAGACTGCTGTCAATTTAGTTCAGTGTTGGCTTCTGAAGCAAGTGATCTCCTCCCTCCACGCAAAGGTAATGTTGGCTATGAACAGACACCACATGGTTACCATGAACTTGTCTATAATAATGAGTGGGAAAGTCCTCACATTCATGGGCTAGGAGCTGACACAGTGGTGTATTTTCTAGAGCAAAGCTCAGGTGATGAGTCCGGGGTCAGTCAAATGGGAGGCTTATCAGCCAATTCAGGATCAGAGTGCGTTATAAGAGGAAGGACTGCATGGAGCTCTTTAGTGAGGCTCAGAGGCAACTCCGGCAGATGGATAAAGCCCACGGAGAGAAGGAGGGAAACACACTTTCAACAGTGGAAACAGAATCAAAGGCTCAGTGAGAGGGACCCAAGGGAGCCTCACGGGCTGTTCTCAGTCCAGAGAATTCAGAGAGAGCACGTTTGAAGGAACTGTGCAGGGTACAGGGGAGGGGGAGCTGCCCAAGACAGAGATCTCCTTAATACAGGAACAGCCACAGCCCCGCAGGGTAAGAAAGCTTTAATCTGCCCCCAACTTCTTTGACTTTTATTTGTAAATAAATGTAGCTGCTTTATCTCTCCCCAGCTGTTATATGTTCTGTAGTTTGTAAAAAAAGACTGATAACATGAATCCTTCTCTATGTGGGGCAAATAATTTCTAAGGAGTGAGGGGTTGGAGTGACTGATTTTTCTCCTTGCCTTTTGTTACTAAATTCAGACCAGAGCTGCATGAGTATCACTTCTGTTTTCCAGAATGTGCATTCAAAATAACATTGTGACAAGGAACACCTACATATTTCACATTCTGACTCAGCCCATGGTGTTGAAAGAGTCAAAGACCCTGGAGTTCACATGAATTGCTAAAATTCTAATATCCTGGGAGTGAGAAGACAGGAAAATTAAAAAAAAAAAAAGGATTTAGTAAATGCTAATGAGAAGCAGTCTCAAAGGCAGAAAACAGCTTTCTAAAATGCTGCCAAATTATTATCATCAAAGTAAATAATGACAATTTCAAAACCAACACAGTCTTACCAATCAATTCTAAAGGTATCGGTTTTTCAGTCAGTTTGTTAGTCGATAGTTTCTGGCTTACCACGACTTCATAATTGTATATTTTGAAAAATTATATTTTAATTCAACACCTTAAATCTATCTAACATTAGACAGCAGACAGCAAAACATTTCAAAATAGCCCATTCACTTTTTAAAATAGCTGTAGCACAGACAGTCAGCATTCAACTCCTAAAACTGTCTGTAGTTTCATGATAGTGAAATAAAATCCTGAAGACCAAACAACCCACAAAAGAAAGCAAAAGTGAGATGGTGAACTTACTTTTGGGAAAATTGAAGCAAAGGATGGATCTAGAAACACGGTTTGTTCGCGGTGTTACTCAGAAGAAAGTGAGTCACATTTTCTCCTGGTCTTTAGCATGTTTCTGGAGTTTGCTTTAACTCTTTGACTTCTGTGAGCATGTCCTATGAAGTCTGCTTTCAGCCAAGGGTTTATGATCTCAGATCTGCTGATCTTGCCAAACACCACATTCACGTGACTGCTCATGAACTGTTTGTTTTTTCCCTGGTACCCAGCCAGTCCCTGCAGAGTAATGCCAGTTACATTGGGTTGCCTGGCTGTGCCACGGTATAAAGTGAAGCTTGGAGAGAAGATTCAATATGCCTAAGCTTGCAGCATTCCTAAGCTTTGCTCTGTGATATCCAAGATGATTAACTCCAACAGCAAAGTTTAAAGCATTGCCTTTCAACCGTAAGGAGGTAACTTGGAGAGAAATTTAATCAGAGAAAAGCTGTCTTTTCCACCTAGAACTCCAGACTATTTGTTATCTTTACTCCACAGTTTTCATTTCATTCAGTTTTGATAATCCTCTAATTTCTCTTGAGACTTATTCTTTGACAACTGACTTGTTTAGTAGTGTGTTGCCTTAATTTCCAGATGTCTGGAGATTGTTATCTTGTGTGTATGTGTCTGCGTGCATGTCTGCATGCATGCGTCCATGCCCATGGATATGAAGGCCAGAGGTCTATGTCAGGTATCTTCCTCAATTATGCTCCACTTTTTTAAATTTTTTTATTTATTTTTATTTTATATGTATGAGTGTTTGCATGTGTGTAAGTGCACCTGGGTGTGCAATGTCTACAGACACCAGAAGAGGGCATCAGAGTTAGGGATGGTTGTTAGTTGCCAGGTGGATGCTGGGAACTGAACTCAGGTCCTCTGCAAGAGTAGCTGGTGCTCTTAACCATTGAGCCATCTCTCCAGCCCCTTCTACTTTCTTTTTTGAGACAGTCTTTCATCTGAAGCTGGAGCTTATTAATTTGGCTAGGAGTGCCAGGCAGCAAGCTCCAGGGATTCTTCTGTGTCTGCATCCTCAAGTCTGGGATTACAGGCCACAGTTAGGCTCTTATGTGGGTGCTGGGGGAGCAAGCTCAATGGAGCATATGAAGCAAGCACCTCATCCACTGAGTTACCTCACCAACCCTTATCTTCTGGTTATCGACTTGTATTTTAATTCCCTTATAGTCAGAAAGCATTCTGTATACTAACTTTTGTTAAGCTTGTTTCACAAGCCAGGAAAGATTGCTTAGTGACTATTCCATACACACATAAACATATGTGCAACTCTTGTTACTGCTGGGCTGCCAGACAGCATGCTAATCAGACTAACACCCCCATTGATGGGAGGAGAATTGTGTTGACTTTAAAGTCCAGTCTGTGTTTGCATCAGTTACCAAAGAGCCTGAGAGCAGAGCCTAAAATCAATTACATTTCTGTGCTTTGTTAGGTCAACTACTGGTTCAAGAAAGTGCTTCAAATATATTAAAAATTTATAATATATTTCAAGAAATTTTAACATATACTGTGTGTATATATGAGAGAGAGAGGGACAGAGAGAGAGAAACAGAGAGACAGAGAGAAGGAAAGAGAGAGAGAGAGAGAGAGAGAGAGAAAGAGAGAGAGAATGTGCCTGCCACAGAGTGACTTATGGAGGTTAGAGGACATGTGGGAGTCAGTTCTCTTCTTTCACCATTCAGTATTTGGGCCCCTGGGGGAGGGGCGCGTTGGAACTCAGGCTGTCAGACTTGGCAGCGAAAACCTTTTCCTGCTGAGCTGTCTCACCAGCCTTATTTAAGATTATTTTAAAGATATTTAAATTTCCCCTGTCTGGTTCTTTGATCTACTACTATAGGTATTTACTTTCTTACAAAAAGTAAGAGATGCCTACAATAGATTTGGAATTGGCATATAATAGCAAAACACATGAGTACTCCCTATCCCCCTAAAACAGATATTAGCTTTTAAAAGGAATACACATTATATATTTGTTTTCTATATGTCTGACCTATGATAATTTGTGGATTGAAAAATACAGAATTTATTATCTTAACATTTGTATGTCAAAGTCAGGCACAAGCCTTTTTTTAAAAAAAGATTTCCTTTTGGGGCTGGAGAGATGGCTCAGCGATTAAGAACACTAAATGTTCTTGCAGAAGACTGGGATTTGAATCCCAGCACCCACATGGCAGCTAACAACTGTCTGTAACTCCAGTTCCAGGGGATTGACAGCATCTTCTGTCCTCCACGGGCATTGTGTGACATGGGTGCACCTACCTACATGCAGGTAATACACGCGTACACATAAAAATATAAAAATGATAAATAAAATATATTTTAAAAAGATTTCCTTTTTCCCTCTGTAAGTCAAATTCACTGCTGGGAGGTGCACATGGCATCCAATCCCCTTCTCCCACAGTCCTTGTGACAGCCTGAGGAAAGACTTCTCCAAACCCTGGTTTGAAGAATCTTAACGAACTTATTGGACTTCCTAACTGAGCTTGGGGTGCAGGTTTACTTACTGACAAGCAGGCGCCCTCCCCCCCATTCAAGACTGTGTTCGAAAGTCCACGTTGAGACATAAATCCTGTGGTTCCAGACAGCCTCACAAAATGGCGAAGGACCAGCTTCGTGGTTTTCCCAGCTTTTATACCCTTAGCCCCTCCTTTGTAAGCAGCTATGGTCAACCGATTGGCTGGAAGAGGGAAGGGAAGTGGCTTCTTTGCAGAGCGTGGGAAGGGGGTGAATCCATGGCTCATCATCACAGGGTCAGAGGAACATCCATGTCACACTCCACCCTTTCCTCTGGCTCTTACAAAACTTTCCGCCTGCCTTTCCTGAGAATATCCCTGAGCCTCAGAGGGGTGGGGCGAACTTTCTCCCATTGTAATAGGGCACTGGACTCTTCAAGTCTCTGCATCCTCTGTTTGTCATGGGCTGATGGCTCAATTTAGTGGCATTCCACCTACTATAAAAACACAAACAGCAAGAAGCAAGAACATGTAAACAGTAACTGCTTTTCTGCAGAAGGATCCTGAGTGTGCCGCGTTGTTCTTGCTGGCGAGACGATAGCGCGGGACAGGGGTGAATCCATGGCTCATCATCACAGGGTCAGAGGAACATCCATGTCACACTCCACCCCTTCCTCTGGCTCTTACAAAACTTTCCGCCAGCCTTTCCTGAGAATATCCCTGATCCTCAGAGGGGTGGGGCGAACTTTCTCCCATTGTAATAGGGCACTGGACTCTTCAAATCTCTGTATCCTCTGTTTGTCATGGGCTGATGGCTCAATTTAGTGACATTCTATCTACTATAAAAACACAAATAGCAAGAAGCAAGAGCATGTAAACAGTAACTGCTATAATAGCTCATGGGCATAAACACAAATGCTTGGATGGTATTTTAGTAGGCACATCATGTCCATCTAACAATACAATTGCACTGGCTTCTCCACTGGGGCCTATAACCTCTCCTGCCACAGAGGGGTGGCCTGGTCTATAACAGCAGATGTGTGGTCCATCCCTAGGAGCAGGCATTAGGTCCAATCAATAATTAGTTGGTTGTACATACGCTAGATGAGCCACTATTGCACCAGCAGGAACATCTCCCTTTGCATGTTGATAGTGCAGCACGGCTGGGTCCTTCGTTGAACAGGATAATGGGGAACAATTCTCCCCCAGCCATCTGTATAGCACCTTCTGGCACTATGAAAGCCACCCATCCAGTGGCAGGGCGTTTCCAGCTTAGTCCAAGCTTGATTTCTCCCTCTTGCATGCTCACATCATGTCATATCTTCAGCAATAGGGTCTTACTGTCCACTTCAGATGTACAGCCAACATTACTGGCAATCACCTTTATAGTTTTGGGGACCTCTGGGGTCCCTTTGGCCAACTGCTTATAGGGAGGCAACCCACCCCTGGTACTGGGATTTTCATTTAACAACCTTATGGCTTCTGGAAGGGCCTTTTCCCACCCCAATAAGGTTTCGTCTGGTCTTAAAGTTTTCAACTGTTCCTTTAGCAACCCATTTTTTTCTTTCAATTAACCCTGCTCCTGTAGGATTGTATGGAAGGTGGAAATACCATTGAACCTGATTATCCTCAGCCCAAGCTTGCACATCTGTACCTGTGAAATGAGTGCCTCTGTAGCTATCAATTCACTTTGGGCACCCATACATGACACTGAGTTCAGTAAGCCCCTTAATAGTAGCCTTGCCTGTCCTTCTCTTGCAAGGAAAGGCCTGTGTACAGCCTGTGGCAGTGTCCACACAAGTGAGAGCATATTTATACCCCTCACTAATAATCTATTGAGCATATTTATACCCCTCACTGACTGGCAGGGGCCCTATATAATCTACTTTGCAGTCTCTCACAGGGGAAGCTGCCTTGTGCAAGTGTACCATCATGGCATCCATCCTCTGGGACCATAACCGAGAACACGCCTCACAGGCCTGGACAGCGGTTGGATGTTAGCATATTTTACTGAAATGCCGGCTGCTTTGGCTATTCTCCATCCCATGTCGGCTCCTCTGTGGCCTGACCTGATATGAATCCAATGAGCTGCTTCTAGGGCAGAGAGCTTCAGCTTGGTGAGGGCATCAGCTCCCTGATTCCTGGGGGGATTCACCAGGCTTTGGGCAACCACATGGTAAACTACCAAGAGCACCAGCTCCTCCTGCATTTTAATATATTTATATATATGTCCTTCCACATTTGCTGTCCCCATAGTGGTCATCCCATCACGTGCCAGTTTTCTTTCTCCCACTGAGCCATCCATAAAGTTAAGACTTTGAACACAGCCCAACTGTCAATACAAATTGTAACTGGCTAAGGCTCCCTCATTATTACTATCCATACAGCTCTCAATTCAGCCCATTGATTGCTTACTCCTTCTTCCCTCTCTAACCATATAGTGCCAGTGTTCATCAGTATTGCCACTGCTACCCATTCTTGTCTGGCACCCCTGCTAGTGCCATCAGTATACCAGGCATCAACCGGAATTGGGGGAGCCCCTTCTAGCACTTGGTCAGGTCTTGCTGGAGAGTCAATTATAGGAGGTGGAGGGAGAGGCTCTGTGCTTTGAAATGACACTGGTCCTAGTACTGCTTGCATGGCATTGCTGATCAAGCTTGCTGACACCACCCCTTGCTGTTGCAAACATGCATGCCATCTTTCCAG